GTTTCCATCGAGGCCCAAACCCGGGTCTCAAAGAGATGAAAATGGAGGCCACACACCCTGGGGTCACCGGGCTCCAGTTCCACGAGGCTGGCACCCCGAGCCTGTCCCCACTGTGTCCCCCTGTCCCCACGAGCCTCCTCAGGCCCCTGCGGACCACAGGACAGGGTCTGGGTCCCGGATCCCTCCAAGGTCCCCTCCTCCAGGAAGCCCTCCTGGTGGCCCCGGGTGAAGCTGGTCGCCTGGGTGTCCTGGGGACCCCTGGAGAGCTGGGTCAAAGTGTGATCGGTCCCTTTTTGGGGACTGTCATGGAGGAAAGCCAAGCTCTCCAGACTCCGCACTCAGAAGAATCCCCGCTAGGAGGCTGGACAGGCCTCCCGGGGTGGGCCTGTCCCCAGCCCCAGAACTGCTGCCTGCAGGGCTCCGGAGCAGCCCCGGCTCCTCCCCAGGGCTCTTCCCAGGTCCCCCCCCTCGGGGCCACACCCCTTCTGGAGGTGACGACTACAGGCTCTACACACAGACATCCCTCTGCCGCCCCCCTTTTGCTCGCTGTGTGACCCCAGACAAGTCACTGAACCTCTCTGGGCCTCTTCACTTCCCCTTCTCTAGAATGGAGCTCACTCTCGCCCCTTTGTGCAGAGGGGGCTTCCGGTCCACCCCACAGTCTAACTCGGATCCTCCTGGAAACCAGCACTCACCGGGCCCCGCAAAGCAGACTTGGCCGAGGGTGATGGTGCGGGGGGTGGGGGTGGGGTGGGGGCTGGCGGCCACAGTCTGTGCTGAATGTCCCCGGGCCACCCTGTGCCAAGCCCATTTTACAGGTGGACAAACAGAGGCCCAGAGAGGGTAAGCGACCCGCTCCGAGGCCCAGTCAGGAGCTGCGGAGGTGGATTGGATTCTGGGGGAAGGGCCTGGGCCTCTGCAGATGTCCCCAGTTGGCCTCACCTACTCGGTCTACCTGAGGCCCACCTGGAGGCCCGATCACAGAGGGTCACCTGGTCTCCACGGCTCCGCCCACGGCTCCCAGCTACCTACCCAGCAACCCCTGTGGGCGGGCAGTGGGGCCTCGAAGGTCCATAAGCCAGTGTACGATCCAGTAAGCAGCTGTGTGACTCCGGGCAAATTCCTTCCCTCTCTGGGCCTCAGCTTCCTCGCCTGAAAACTGGGGACAGCAGCACCGTCTGCTGGCGGGGACCGTGAGTGTTGGCACAGCGTGTCTCCGAGAGCCTGGGACCAGAGCTGTAGCATCCCCACCCTTTTATTTTATTTCGAGACGGGGTTTTGCTAACGTGTGGAGGCTGGCCTCCCATTTGCGATCCTCCTGCCTCAGCCTCCTGAGCTGCTGGGATGACAGGCATGTGGCCACCTCACCCGGCGAGTTAAGGGACGGTGACCACTCCCGATCCATCTCTTCAGGCTACAAGGTCATCTCCCCAACGCTTCTCCTCAATCCCACCAAGGGTCTCTGCTTGCTTGCTCTTGACTATGGGGAGCTCACTCCCAGCCCCCAGCCTAGCTCCCAAATAAAGCCCATTTTGAACAGTCCTCTCCCCGGCCACCCCCACCTGGCATTTTTGGATCCTAAATTGGTGCAAAAAAATACCTTTCCTGATGCCACGCACATGCCCACCCACCGCATGCCAGTCTGGAGTCAGTCTGGAGACGGTCCCCACCTTTATTATAAAAAGCCACCTTGGAAATAGAGCTGCCACCGGCTCTGGCTTTTGGATTTAAATAGACCAATAGGACGGTCACTCGGGTGACCAGCCCCAGCCAGGAAAGCCAGGCCACACGGGCCTGGGAGGAACGGGATTGTGGACCCTGGAAGCCCCAGAGCCAAGCCTGCCACCTGTCCTGCAGGGACACCGGCCTCTGTCCTGTGGCTGAGCCACGCCGGGCCACCTGTCCCCCCCCCCCGCCATTCTCGGAACCCACCTCTGGGACCACACCCCAGCACCCGAATCTGTCTGGAACCCCTGTTCCTGGGTGCCACCTCAGGCTGCGCTGGCCCACTGTGTCCCCAGATGCACCCCAGGGTCTACCTGGGGCCTGGCACATAGTAAATGCTCAAGAAATACTTAGAGGAGCATCAAGGGATGTCTTGCCTGGAAGGTGGTACCTCCAGTCCCCCTCGGCCCTCCCTGCAGCCACCCCGCCTTCTCACCAGCCACCTGGGGACTTTCTAGAATATTAAAGATCATTCGAGCACGCGGTGGTGCACGCCTGTCATCCTAGCAGCTCGGGAGGCTGAGGCAGGAGGATTGCAACTTAGAGGCCAGCTGCAAACTCGGGTGCCGGGCACTCAAATCTCTGCACGTATTACCTCATTTAATTCCCCATAGCAATCCGAGATTCTAAGGAGGAAGAAACCCAGAGGGCCATATCCCTCCTCTGCCTAAAACACTCCATGGCTCCCTATGGCCTGGATCAATCCCAGACTCCCAATCTGGCCTCCGGGCTCCTAGCAGCACGGCACACAGCCCCCTGCACCTCCCTGCAATGTCAGTGAGGGCCGAAACAGAGTCCCCCAGGGGTCCCCGTGAGCACACAGGGACAGCATACAGCAGGGGCTTAATGAATGTTTTATGCCCGTATCTGTCAGGGAGGCTGCAGAACAAACCATGGGAGGTCAATGTGTGCTGACCAGGAGCGAGTCCAGCCTCTGCTCATCACACCCTGTGAGGTGACAGCAGCAGCAATGTCAACAGCAGGTGCCTGCAGAGACCCGGCCACCCACTGAGGCCGGCCTCCAACTTGTGATCCTCCTGCCTCGGCCTCCCGAGCTGCTGGGATGACCCGGTGTGGGCCACCGCGCCCGTGTGGCCTAAGACAACCCCTGGTGAGAAAGTTTGTTTTTCTACGGGTTGTTTTTTATGGAAGCTGAAATTCAGGAAGATGACATGGCTTGCCCAAGGTCACCCAGCTGGGAGAGGACAGAGTGGAATTTGAGTCGGGAGCAAAGTTTAAATTCTTAACCTGTAACTGGGGGGTGGGACTGGAAAACGTGTCACGGGCCACCTCCACCTGCCCTTGCTGGGGACCCAAGTCTGGGGTCTCGGGCACTTTTAGGGGATATGTCAAGAGCCACTGGCCTGTGGCCAGAGCCAGGCCCGGAGACACAGAGAGGGTGGCCCAGGAGGCCTTGGAGTAGGCAGGGGACCTTGGTCAGCTGCCCCTGGGGCCCTGTCCCCTGCAGAGGCCCTGCCCCCTAGGGAGTAGGAAGTCCGGCCTCTCTCAGTGGAGTGAGTCACTGCGCCAGGCCAGGGAGTGGACAGGGGACCGTGGGAACCAGGACACTTCTTGCCCGTGGGGGAGGGGAGTCTGCCCAGGCCGGAGGGACCCACCAGGGCCCCACACAGGGCTGGACCCTGCCCACGGAGGCCTGAGGGGTGTCCCCAGCTCAGCCTGGCCCCAGGGCTTCCTGCCTCCTATGAACCACCCAGAGATGGCCGCCCGGGGGCGGAGAGTGGGGGCCTTCCGGGTCCCAGTCCTGCAGGCCAGCCCTGACCCCGGCCGGGCCAGGGAGCAGCCCCTGGGACGGTGTCCCCACTCACCCCTGGGACCCTTAGCTTCAGGGGGGCCCAGCAGGGAGGTGGCAGCCGCTGGGAGCCAGCGGCAGAGAAGGAATCTGTTTACTCAAAGCCGCGCAGGGAAGAATTAATCTTGGGACGTCCTTGTCACACAGCCCGGGGGACCACAGAGAAGAGAAGGGGCAGAGCCCCAATGAGGGGTGGGGGGGGACTCCCGAATTGCCAGGAGGAGGAACTTCATGGCTGGGGGAGTTTGGGGTGTCTTTTAAAACGGGGATCCCCAGACTCGCCCCCCCTAGACCCCTCTGTCATCCCCACAATGTCAACACACACGCTAGGTCCCTAACCTGGCCTCCTGCCACCGCCCGGCCCAGCCTCAGACATTTGGATCCCCTTCCTCTGTCCTCATTCAGGGCCCTAAGACCTTCAAATCCCTGTCCACCGGCTCCATTGTCCTGTCCCCTGAATCTGCCCACTGCGGCCACGAAACCTGCACGCTAAGAGAGCAGAGATCCTGTGTTCAAATCCCGCCTCTGCCAGTTCCCAGCTGTGTGTTCTTGAGCAAGTTACTGAACCTCCCTGTGCCTAGGTTGCTGTTTTTTTTTCATCTGTAAAATGGGAATGGGACTAGAGGATTGTTGTGAAAACAAGGAGAGCATGACACGTGATGGGCTTAGGAGCTCCTCCCGGAGTGCCACTGTGACCCTGGTCTGCCATGCCTGGTGCACGCTAGGTGTTCTGATCTGCCATGCCTGGTCCATCCATACTAGGTGTTCATTAAACATTTCTTGAATGAGTGGATTAAAAAGCGGTCTCAGGAGCAGACCTGTTGGCCAAACACGCAGCTTCCCCAGAGAACCGATTGGTTCCCCCAAATACCGGTGTTCTCTGCCACACAGGTCCCACAGCGTGTCTTGCCCTGAGTCCTGCGGGCCCTTTGTGGGTGGCACACATCTGGTGCCCAAGGCTCAATGGTAAAGGCTCCCAGGGCCATGTCAGCACGCACCTCTGCTCAGGCGTGCACCGGGGACCCTGCCCTCCAACCCGGCACCACGGGGCTGTGCGGGCACCTTTGGCTCTTTGCAGCGAGCGGCGCCTGCGTATCCATGGCAACCTGGGCCCCTCCCAGTGCAGGTACAGGGAGGTCCCGCACCTGTGACCCAGCACTCAATGCAGTCCCCATCGGGGGCCGTTAAGGTCGTCCGCAGTCGCCCCTCGGTGCACACCTGGATCTCCCCGT